CTGGGGGTGGGGGTAGTGGGGCTCGCCCTCGAGCAGTGGCGCCGCGCGGTAGTCGCGGTAGTCGTGGTGGTGGTGGTGGTGGGGATACGGAACGCCTCCTCGCCCTGGCGGCGGCCAGTCCCGTCCAAAGGCATCCCGCCCGTCCCGGTACGCCGGCGGAATGCTCCTGCAGAAGGGCGCACCGCCGCCACCGCCGCCACGCCATACACGACAGCCGTGTGAGCCAAACCTCTGCCCATGTCGCGCCATCTTCCGCGTGCGCACGGCCCCGCCAAAGAAGAACCCAGAGAGAGAGAGAGAGAGAGAGAGAGGAGAGAGTACCGCGGAGGGGGCGGATAGTGGGCGAGCTCATCCCGGCGGTCGTGGTAGAGAGGCGAGGACCCGTAGAACTGCTGCTGCTGCTGCTGCTGGTGGTGGTGGTGGTGGTGGTGGACACAGCCTGATGGGTTAGCGAGCTGGGGCGGGGGCGTGGCAGAGGGGTTTGGGAGGAGCGCGTGTCGTGTGTATAGCGCGCACAGTTGGATAGCAACATGCAGCTCCCGGGAGCAAGCGGGAGGGAGAGAGGTGTTGTTGTCTGCATGCGTGCGTGCGTCTGGAAACGTACGTGGAATCCGCGTCGGTGGTCCCGGTCCCGGTCGCCCGGCGGACCGCGGCCGCGCGTGCCTCGGCTCTCGAACGTGGCGGGAGGGTAGGAGAGGCGCCCGCTCCTGGCCTCTGGGAGCCATGCCGCCGCCGCCGCCTCGTCGTCGCCGTGGCCCCGGTGGTGGCGGCGGTGGGGGGAGGACGAGTCATTGCGCAACGCCGGCGGAGGACCCTGCGACCGTCGGCCGATGGAGCGGTCCCCGCTGCCATGGCTACGGGGCGGCGGCGAAGAGCCTCGCTGGTGCTGCTGCGGGTGCTGGTCGCGGTCGCCAGGTGGCCACCTGGTGTTGGAGGGTGGGGAGTGCCGCGAGAGAGGGCGGCCTCGCTCCCCCCAACCGCGCTCACGGGCCTCGGCTGCTCGCTCGCCCCGCCCCGGGCTGGGTCGTGTGCTGCTGCTGTTGAATGCCCCTCCGCTCCCCTCTCGATCAACCGCCCCCCTGTCCGCCCAATCATCCCGGCGGTGGTCCGGCTCGCGGCGGTAGTGATGATGGCTACCACCGTTGTCTTCCCCTGCCCGAGGCGAGATGTCCTGCTCCTCCTCCTCCTCTCGATTGTGCCGTCGTTTCTTCGCTCTCCCGCCAGCATCGTCGACTGCTCGTTCCTTCCCCCCTTCGTGATCATCCCGCTGTCTGTGCTGCTCATCATCATCGGCAGCTGCCCCAACGGGAAGAACGGCCTCGCGCTCAGCTTGCCGCGGTCCTGCTCCTTCGTCACTGGCAGGAGGCGACTCGCGCCTTCGTTTCGTCGAGACAGCCAATGCGTCTGCGTCCATCTCTCGCTACGCGGGCTGGAGGGCTGGAGGAAATGGAAAATTATCTTTTCAATACCCTTTTCCTTTTCTTCTCTCCCATTTTTCCTGAGCTCCGTTTCGTTTTCTTCAGCCGCCCAAAACAGGCCCACATCAAGGGGGGTGACAAAAAAGAACGAAGAGGGACTCCGAGACATGAATCATACACCAGTGCACGAGCCGCCACCCCTCAACGAAGAGTTTGCTCACCTCATGCAGTACCTTGATACGTAAATTCCTCCGCCCCATTTTTCGGCCCACAAGGAGTTGCATCCGTCTACTTTTTTTGCCTTCTTATTTATTCATTTATTTATTATTACACCCATTGACGTGTACACGCGCCCAGGCCACAAGAGGGACGCACAGGAGGCGGATTCCCACATTCCCATCCGGCTGCCCATCACATAATCCAGCAACACAGCCCCTCCCCGATGCAAGGCGGAGGGCCGGCCTACCCGGGTGGCGGCATCAAGATGGAAACCGGCCAACAGCAGCCTGCTCCCCTCCTCCACGCCCCTCCGAATTCTGCCCCCTCTTTCCTCTACCACCACCCCCCCTCCCCCTTTGGTCTTCACCCCGCCACCACTCCCGGTACTCCTCCTACTCCCCGTCCCCCTCTCTTCCTTCCTCCCTCCCTCCTCCTCCTCCTCCTCCACGGCGGCCCCGTCCGTCCTCTTCTTCCTCCCCCCCCCCATTCTGACTCTCCACACACGCGCACGCACGCACACGCACACACACGACACCTCTCTTACCCCCCCCCCCGTGCAGGCGGAGTGGCATTCGGGCAGCAGCAGCAGCAGCAGCAGCAGACGCACGTCTCCATGGGCGTGGCACCCGGAGGAGGAGTAGCATCGCCCTTACAGCACCAACAGCAGCAGCTGCACCAGCAGCAGCAGCAGCAGCAGCAGGGGGTGCCGATGCACGCGATGCTGGGCGTACCGTCCCCCGGTGGTCAGCAGGCACTGTCTCCTCCGTCGACGGCCGCCGCCTTTAGCTCCCCGCACCAGCACCACCACCAACAGCTGCAGCAGCAGCAGCAACAGCAGCAACAGCAGCTCCTCCTCCAGCAGCAGCAGCAGCTCCAGCAGCAGCAGCAGCATTTCGCGTCCCAAACGGCGCACATGCAGGTACGCAGCCATTCCTCCTCTTCACGCCGGCGCCAGCGCGCTCGCGTCCTCGCCCGCACCTGCAGCAGTTGAGGCAGGCGGGCGGGCTGCTGCTGGTGTCCTTTGGTTGGTTGGTTGGGGGCCTGGCGCGCCTTTCCCTTTCCCTCGTCTGACTCTCTCTCTCCCTCTCTCCCTCCCTCCCCTCTTGCCATCCATCGGGGCGGCGGCGGCGGCGGCGGCGGCGGCGGGGTGCAGGTGCAATCGCCAGCGACAGTAGTAGCAGCAGCACCGGTGGCGGCGGCGGCGGCGGCAGCGCCTGGCGGCCCGGTGGGTGGTGGTGGTGGTGGAGCACCGGGCGCGCAGGCGCAGCTGCAGGTGCCATCGACGCTGGAGGGGTGCCAGCAGGTGCTGGAGGAGATCTACAGCTACAAGCAGCAGCAGAAGGACCAGCTGGAGAAGATCCGCCAGTTCCAGAAGCAGCTCATGATGCGGCCGCAGAAGGAGGGCTACGACGTCCTGCTCCAGCAGCACGCCCAGCTCAAGAACCAGATCGCCGAGGAGCTGCGCACCCTGCAGGCCCTCTTCCAGCAGGTCATCCTGCCGCCCGCCGAGATCCACAAGCTCATCTACCTCCTCCAGGACCTCAAGCTGCAGCAGATCCAGCTCGAGCTCTTCCAGCAGGAGCTACAGCGCCTCACCCTCGCCCCCCACCACCCCCACCTCGCCCGCCCGTACGCCCGCCCCGCCCCACCCCCCCACCCCTCGCCACACCACCTGTTCTCTCCACCTACCCATCCATCCCTCCATCGCCGCCGCCGCCGCCGCCACAAATCACAAACACGACACACGACACACGACACACCGCACCATCGCACATGCACGCACAACAGGGTGTGTGCGCTGGTGATCGTGGAGCAGCCCCTTCCGATGGTGGTCACCAAGGGCAAGCAGCTCGAGGACGACCCTGTCGTCGTGCAGCTCCTCACCGGTACCTTGCGCGTCCCTCCCCGACGTCCCCTCCCCCTCGTCGCCGCCTCGCCCACTAATCTCTTCCTCCTCCTCCTCCTCCTCCTCCTATTCGTCGTCGTCGTCGTCGTCCTGTTTCGTTCCTTGCGTGCGTGCGTGCGTGCGTGTTGTGTCGTGTATCGTGTGTCGTGCGTATGTGGTTTCTCGCGGGGGCAGGGGCCAACGTGGAGATTCATTCGTTCTCGAAGGTCAAGGTGGCCATGATATGCGACAACCAGCAGGTCAAGACCAACTCCTCGTCGTCGTCCAAGGCCATCGAAAACGACACCCAGACTATGGACGGTAAGGCCCGCCCCACCCACCGTGGGTGCCACGTGCTATTGTTATTATTGGTCTCCTGCTATTATTATTCATTAATTATTATGATGTATTTATTTATTTATTTATTTGGTGGTGGGTGGTGGGTGGGTGGTGGGTGGTGGTGGGCTACACCAGGGGTGCGTCGCATCGCCAAGTTCTACCTCAAGTTCCTCACGGGCACCCGGAAGAACCCCGTACGGCTGCGGTTCGGGATCCAGCTCCAGATCAACCAGAACGGCGCCGCCCAGACCGTGACGGTGGAGAGCAACTCGTCGCGCCCCTTCATCGTCATCACCAACGAGTGCCAGTGGGAGGAGTCCGAGGGCATCCTCCTCAAAAAAGGACGCCTTTGGCGAGCAGGTATTTTAATTTACCGCACACGACACACGACACGACACACACGAACACGACACACTTACACACCCCCAGGGAGAGAGAGAGAGAGAGAGAGCCAATCGGTCGTCACCGGCGTCCAACCTTCTCTCCAATAATAGGCGCATGCATTACTCATTATTTGTGGCGGTGGCGGTGGCAGGGCGAGGTGACGTGGCCGCAGTTCGCGAACGTGCTGCAGAGGCACTTCCTGCGGGCCACGCGGCAGGACCTCATCCGGCCCACGCGGCAACTGTCCGATCTCGATTTCGAGTACCTCAACCAGACCTTCTTCGGTACGTCCTACCCCGCCCCGCCCCGCCCCGCCCACCTCACCGTCCCCTTTCTCCATTCGACCACCTCCACCCAACCACGTCGTGTGCCTGACCTGACCTGATCTGATCTGATCTATGCGCACCACCACGCACCACGCACCACGAATCCGGGGGGGGGGCACGGACCAAAGAGGGGGTGCAGGTGATCGGCCAAAAGAGCTACGACGCCTTCTGGGAGTGGTTCGGGAAGGCCGTGCAGAAGCTGCGCTACCAGCGACACATCTGCCCCCTCTGGCAAACCGGGTACACGCACCACCGCCACCACCGCCGCCGCCGCCGCCGCCGCCGCCGCCACGTGGTTGGCCCCGCTAACGGTTACTTGTGCGTTGTGTTCGCGGGCAGCCTCATCTACGGATTCTTGACGAGGGAGGGCGTCAAGGCCGCCCTCATCAACGAGGAAGTGGGCACCTTCCTCATCCGCCTCAGCGAGAGGCACCCGGGCCTCTTTGCCGTCGGGTACCGACACACACACACACACGCATGCACGCACACGGTGAACGACACCACGTGCGCTCGCCAGTGTACGTGCATGCTCACCTGCGGGTTCAGGTACAAGACGGACGACGCCGACGTGCAAAAGAGCGTGCGGCACTACCTCGTGCAGCCAGAGGACACCGCGGGAGCCAAGAAGACTCTGCCGGACTTCCTGTTCACCTGCCCCGCCTTCCAGTTCCTCCTCGTGGTATGGAAACACACACCGCGCCACCGCGCCACCACGCCACCACGCTCCCTCTTATTCCTACGTCCTCGCACCTTTCTTACTTCTATACATCTCTCGACCTGTCCCAGGTGACCAGCGACGTGGAGAACGGCACCCCGAAGCTGCGCAAGTTCGCCAAGGACGTGGCCCTCCAGCCCTACTACTCCAAGAAGAATCCGGTGGCCAAGGCCAAGGGCTACGACGACGAGATCCCCATCCCCAACATGCTCAGCCCATGATTGATCGTCGTCGTCGTCATCCCTCTCATAATGTGGCCACTCTCTTTTTTGCCCGCGCCCTCCGCCAGCAGGACGCGCAGAGGTGTATAAAAATCAATTTTTGCTTCATGTTTGTTTCCTCGTTTTATTGCCTCGACGCTTCGTTGGGTCGTGGCCCACACACGTGCAGCAGCAGCTGCTGACGACAGATCAGACGGCCATCGGGGCGGGGGGTTCCACGCCGGCGACGGCTTCGTCGACCTTCTTTTCCTCCTTGAGCTCGGCGCTCCTCTTGATCCTCTCCCGCACGACGTTCCTGCTGCTTTCGAGTATCTTCTCCAGCAGGAACAGCTCCTCGGTCGAGCTCTCCTCGGTGCCGCCCTCCTTGAGCTTCTGCATCTCCCTCAGGAGCAGGTTGATCTCCTCCCTCATGCGGTTGACCTCTTCGTCCCGCTGCCTCAGGATGGTGTCCCTCTCCTCGAGACCCAGGCGCATCTCCTCCCGCTCCCTCTGCAGCTGGTGAATGATCGCCGCCCTCTCCTGAAGCAGCCGGTCTCTCCTGTCTATCACGCGCGCATGAACACACGACACACCGCAGGGTGATGAGTGGGGGGGGGGCTACCTACACTTGGCCACTCCACCACGATCGTATACGATATTGTATATATATCCACAGGCCAACACACACATACACACACACGACACACGACACACACGACACACACGACACACACACAACGACACACCGCGTACCCCAGGTGCCGTAGAGCCAGGACATGGCGGACTGGAAGGATCCGTTCTCATCCTGCCCGTTCGCGTCGGCTCTGGCCTCCTGGACCATCTGCTGCTGTTGCTGCTGCTGCTGCTCGTCCTCCTCTTCGCCCCTCTTGGCCGCGACGCGCAGGCCCATCCCCCGGGGATCTCCGCCGGCGCCGGCGGTGGCAAAGGGCGGCAGCGGAAGGCCGGGAGGCGATGGCGGCGCGACGCCGGGCATGCCGCCCACCACGACGCCGGCGTGGCCCACGGGCGAGGTGGTGAAGGGTCCCGTGTAGACGGCCGGGTCGCCGGGGTAGGCCGGGTAGGGGATCACCCTCTCCCTCAGCCGCGACTTTCTGCTCATCGAGTGCTTGGAGGGCGTGAGCTTGATGTAGCACCCGCCCCACTGGGTGCCTGTCCTGTTCATCGTCTCGCCCAGCTCAAAGTTGAGGTCGATCTTGATCGTCGGGTCAGGGCTCCCTGCGAGAAGAAGTAGAAGTAGAGCGGGTGGTGAGGGAACAGCACGCGTCGTGTCATTGGTCGTGTCGACCACGTAGGTCACGTAGCTGCCCAGTGGCGGTGGTTGTTTGGGGGGGGGGTTCACCTTTGTCCTTGGCGGCGATGGCGGACATCATCTCCATGCATTTGTTGGCGGTGGGCTTCTTTACGATGAGCTCGTAGAGGGGGTGGTCGGTCACGAGGTAAAAGTCTTTCCTCATGGACGGGTCCTTCGGCGTAGTGCCCAAGCGGATTAGCTTTGCGGACGAGAAGGGGGATCGGAAATTGTAAAGAGAACGAGAGGGATATAGGCCTCATCAAACAAATGAGCAAGGAGCTTTTGGATTGCCCGTACCTCTTGGATCATCTTGAGCATCCTCATTACTTGGCTCTGTGTAATCCTGAGGCCATGTGCCGGAAGGCCAGCTCGGATGCTGTCCAGCTTACGCTTCTTCGGGGTCTGGCTCGATTCAAGCTCTTCCTCGGAGCCTTCTTGATCTTGAGTGGCTTCGCCCACCAAATGATGGTGGTGATGGTGATGGTGCAGCAGATCGTCGGGCAAGTCGGGCAGGACCTGCTCGCATCCCACGTGTTACACAAACGAACATTAATTGGGATTGATGCAAAGAAAAGTAACTCCCATACAGATGCCAGCGCGAGTCCCCCAAAAGAGGACTTCTCGTCATCATCATCCCCTCCATCATCCCCTCCGTTTCCCTCCGTTTCCTGCTCCCTTTTCCTGATGCTTTTCTCATCTTGCCCACACAACACGGCGTGTGTTCTTGTTGTGCGGGTTGTGCTTTCGACGCCTTTCATCTACTCTCTTCTTGCTGGGGGGCCAAATTTGTCCGCATGTGGTCGCTAATGGAGACTCGCCGTGTAAAAGAACGAATGACAGCAAGAAGAGGTTTCGAATTGGTACCTGACCGTCGAGCGGCATGGGAGCGAGGACAGGCAAAGGGGCCGGCATGGCAGGGAGATTGGGCTCTGGCTCCATCTTGTTCTCTCTGTGCTGATCACTGGTGGCGCCTTTTTCTGGCAGGGGGTCACGTCCGAAAAACAACAGCACGGAGAGAAGGGCGCCCACCACCCAACGGACCAAAAGTCCTTTTTTTTTTTTTTTTTGGAGGGCGTAGTCCGGTTATAACCGGGACTCTCTTGTATTTTTGGATTGCATTTATTTCTGCGAGGGCTGAGGGTGCGAGGAGTGCACTATGTTTGTTGAGAACTATTATTGTGTGCGAAAGAATAAAAACAATGTAGACGCCCCTTTCTTCTACGTCGCCATAGGGGCAGTAAGCCACATGTGTGTCTATGTTCATGTACAGCTGTTACGCCACGTCACCAGAGTCTGGGAGAGCGGAGGGTAAGTGTGGGCAACTATGGTACGGGAGAGAAGAGAGCAACAACGTACTGTCGGCGGCCGTCGCATCGCCAGCCTCAGCTGCCGGTGCGTCGCCAGGCTCAGCGGAAGAGTCAATGGCGGCAGTGGTGGCGGTATCATCGGCGCCATTGCCTTCCGCGGCCTCGCCCGCACTGCCTCCTTCACTCTGTGCATCGGAGCCCTGGCTGGGCTCCTGCTGCTGGGCTTCTCCACCACCTTCAGTAGGCGCTGGGACCTCGCCGAGATCGGATACCTCTTCGGCGGCGGCGGCGGAGGGAGAGGCGTCGGGGGTGGCCTGGGGGTTGGCGGCGTCGATGGCTTGGGTCTCGACCGGCGCCTGGGCCTGGGCGTCGGCGTTGGCGGCGGGGGCGAGCTCGCTTTCGGTGTCGGCATCGTTGCTCTTGTGGGAGCCCGCCTGGCTGATGGGACCCACGGTCATGGCGCGCTGCTTGATGGTACTCGAGCCCGAGCCAAAGTTGACGCCGCTCATGTTGAAGTGCGACACCTGCGGGGACCACTTCTTCTTGGCGTCCTCCTCTCCGAATCCCTCGGTGTAGTTGCCCTTGGTCTTGAAGAGCTGCTTGAAGTGCGTCTTGCAGTAGTACTTCCCGTTGAGGGCGGCGTAGTTACCGAGGGACAGCCGACAGGCGCAGTGCTCGCACTTCATACAGGTCTTGTGGAAGACCTTACCGTCGGCGTCCATCCTCTCCATCGCATACACCGTCTTTGCGCAGGTGTGACATTTTACAGGGAGTCTGAGCGACATCTTCTTTTCCTCTCCTACTCCTACTCCTACTTCTTCTTCTTCTTGCTCGACTGAGCGCTGAGTGTGCCGTTGTTGTTGTGTTGTAGTTGTGTTGGAGGGCTACCTTTTCACGGCCGTGCACCCAAAGAAGGTAACTGCTGCGTCTTTTGAATGCCTTTTTTTTTAATTTTCCACATAAGTGCCACGCAGTGGGGGGGTCATGACTTCGCAGCCGCTCGCCTTCCTTTATTCCACTTTCGGACTGACCGTGACTTTGTTGTTCTTTTGTCCCCTTTTCTTTGGGGGCAGGGCTGCAGGCTTGGATCGGCGCTTGTTTGTCGGCGCTTGCTTGTCGCTGCGTGCTGTGCCGCAAAGGGAGTAGCACGTGAGCAGGACCAACAGAGCGGCACAGACCGCGATGGCGGTAGCCAAGTGGTAGCCGGGCATTTGGAGGACCTGCTCCAAGCCATGCATGAATCTCTGTTGCGGCCCACTGAAGTCAGGCCCTTACTTTCTTTCCATTCACACTACACTTCAATGGAGTTCACACAAGGTGTGAGCAGTGCACGCACCTTGTAGCGGAGGTAGAGGGGGTTCGGGTGAGGGGGTAGCGGCTCGCCAGGTCCACGCAGTGCCCAGCCAGTGTTCACGAATTCATGGAGACCAGCATTGGACTCGGGTTCGCGCATCACCGTTGCGTTGCCCTCGTTCATGCCCATGATGAAGGGGAACTTGGTAAGCACTGATCACGGCGATGATGATGGGCAGAAGGCGGTCAGAACCAACCACCACCACCACCACGACCACCACCACGACCACCACCACGACCACCACCACCACAGTGGGGGGAGCAGGAGGGCGTACTGAGGCGGTCGTCGCAGAGGCTCTTCTCGTGGTCGCACCGCACGTGGGCGAACTTGAGCCAGGGGTACTGTCGCTGCCCCTGCTGCGTGAACTCCTCCCATATGGACTGCATGCGGCGGCTGTCGCTGCTCCACTGAGCCGAAAAGAAGACCAGCCTGGCCGCGGCCGCGGCGGCGGTGGTGCATTGGAGGGGGGGGGAGGTGGAAGCGAGGGTGGGTGGTGTGTAATGACAGAGATCTCATCCGCCCGCACGTGCCCCAAGCAAGCAGGAAGGCGACGTACCACTTGCCCGTCTGGACGTTCTCATCGAACAGCTGGCCCCACAGCTCGACGCAGTTGTGAGGCAGCGGGTGGTTGCTCAGCTGGATGTTGTGTTTGGTCACGAACTCCTGGAACTCCTTGTCAGCCCCTTGTGGACCCATGCTCGACTGAGCCCAGCCGCAGCAGCACCAGCAGCACAACGCCACCAACAGAGCCAACAGCACTGAAGAGGAGGCCATGGACTGTTTCTCTCTGGAGATGAAGCGGGAGGCAACGTTGGGCACCAGCACAGAATTGATTTTGTGGTCCAAAACCAGATTTCACAGCTGACGTCACCGCCAGAGAAAAAAGAGCCTCACTGTTCCCATGCAACCTGCTCACCAACGGCAAGGCGCCGCAAGGTATGGGGTGGTTTTACCAAAAGAAAAAAAAAGAAATGAAAAGAAAAAAAGAATATACGAGTGTATGGACGAGCAAAGGGGAACGAGTACAAAAGAGCTCATCATCGTCGGCGTCGCGGTGGATAAGGAGATGGAGATGGAGAAGAAGGAGAAGGAGAAGAACGTGGGCGGCGGGCCACTACTACTGCACCGCCCACGGTAGTGGGTAGCTTACTCGTCCACGTCGAGGGGCAGCTCGCGCCAGTTGACCTCGTCGTGGAAGGGACGGGGGCCCACGGCCGGAGCAGGACGACGCTTGGTGGCCACGTGCTCGTTCGGCAGAAGCACGCGCAGCACGAACAGCAGCAGACCCGTCAAGGCTCCCGCGCCCAGGCCTGGATGTGTGTGTCGTGTGTGTGTGTGTGTTCGTGTGTTCGCCCCGCCCCCGTGAGAAGAACGAAGAAGAGTAAGAAGGGAGCTTCGTCTCCTGCTGCGTACCGATGGCCATGGAGACGGCCCACGTGGCCGTCAGACGGCCGGCCTGGGACGACGGGTCGTTGGGGAAGAGATCGCTGGCGGTCTGGCCATACTCTGCCCAATCGAAACAAAAACACACACAACCCCCCCCCCGGGTGTGAGAAAGTGGCGCAGCGGGGGAGGGGGGGGGATGACGATGGTGCGGCGGGCGGGCGGGGGTGGTGGTGGTGCGTACGGGTGGCGTCTTGGTAGTCGGCGGTGGCGCAGATGCCGGCGAGGCCTCCGATAAAGCCGGGCACGCCGTGGGCGAACAGGACGCCGGCCGTGTCCTTGGGGATGATGCTCACGTCGGGCAGCAGCTTGTGGGCCTTGTTCATGAACGGCGTCGCATACCTGTCGTGTGTCGTGTGTCGTGTGTCGTGTGTCGTGTCGGCTCACGCACCCAAGAAAAAGTTTGGTGGTGGGTGGTGGTGGGGGTACCTGAGGCCGACCCAGGTGCAGGGGGCGGCGATGAGGGAGCCCAGGATGATGGCCACGTAGGCGGGCACCAACTCGGAGTGCGCGCAGCCCATGACCACGCCGCCGGCCATCACGCCGTGCTGCAGCACGTGGGCCCTAAACTTCTGCGGGCCGAACAGCCAATCGAGACCCACCACCTATAAAAAAGAAGGGTGTATCGGGCAGTACATAGCGGATATATCGTCGTCGTCGTCGTACATATAGCCATCCAGTCGATAACACCGACGCGTTAGCCAATGATTGATTGAAGGGGGGGGGTGGAGGGCGTGAATGGGGGGAAGGTCACCGTGACGCCGCTGGCGCAGCAGGCGAGGGCGGTGTTGATGACGACGCGGAACTGGGCGCCCTCGGCAGCAAACGCTCCGTTGAAGGACGGGAACATGATGAAGAGCACCAGGGTACCGAGGAACGCAAACACGTCCGACGTGTACGACGAGCGTTGATCCTGCGCACGCGCGCGCGATATACAAACACATCCCATCATATAATATTTATAGTTATATATATATAGGATGGTACGGAGTGTCGCATCGTAATCATATCGTAGATGGGTAGGGGTCGTCCAGTAATATATCCGGAGCGGAGGTGGAGGTGCATTGGGGGGAGGAAGGGATGGTTAGAGACCAAACAGAAGAAGAAGAAAGAAGGAAGAAGAAGGGCGTGAGGGGTGATATGGGGAGGGGGGGGGAGGGCACCTCGCCGGGGATGGTAAAGTCGTTGAGGTCGTTGAGGCCGATGATGAAGGAGACGCCGATGCCAAAGAAGGCGCCAAAGAGGTGAATGGTGAGCGCGCCGCCGAGGTCGGTGCCGTGGATCTCGCCCACGGTGATGTAGTAGTTGAGGCAGTAGAAGAAGCCGCCCAGGAAGGTGAACACCAGCGTCTGGAGGGTGTTGGTGCGGCCCAGGACCGCGCCGTAGGCCACCAGTACCGTCGTGGCGCAGTAGAGGCCGTGGATGAGGCTCGCCGTGTCCAGCTGGATCTTGCCGTCCGGGTTGCCCGACGTCTCCCACGCGAACCACCCGTGCCACAGCACGCCCCACTGGAACGCCATCGCGCCCACCAGCAGCGACGAACCCACCGCCGAGTACGAAAACTGTTTTCCACCCACCACCACCGCCCCACCCACCACATCGCAATGTCAGGAATGCTCATCATCATCGTGGTGGTGGTGGTGGTGGTGGTGGTGGTGGTGGTGGTGGTGGTGGTGGTGGTGGTGGTGGTGGTCGCAGTACCTTGCGCAGGAAGGCCCTCTGCATGGTGAAGCCCACGAACACCATCATAAAGATATCGATCAGGAACACGTAGAGGTACTCCACGTTGTCGGTCCACCTGCGCGATCGCGGCGGCGGCGAGAGGAGGATAGTCAGCACACACGCGCGCGGGGGGCGGGGAAGGGAGGTGGTCGGGTGATGGTCGGGTGGTGGTGCACCCGTAGATCTGGGAGGCCTTGCCGGCCGGGTCGTTGGTAAAGTCCATGAAGATGATGTAGAGCACGGTGAGGCCCATCTGCAGGAAGAACATGAGCAGCAGCGTCACGTCGACACCATTGTATTTGTTCACGCGGTCGGCCTGTAAACAGCGCAATACGGAAGATGGATTGGAATGTTAGTCTGGTTCTCACGACACCCAGTTGATGAAGGCGATGATGAAGGCGAAGGTGAAGGTGAAGATGACGAGGGGGCCGGCGTGCCCTGTTCTTGGCGATCCTCTCCTCGATCTTGGAGATCTGCCTGCTCTCGAGGAGGTCGTCGCGCTCCTTGATGGCGTCGTAGAGCATCGCCCGGTACTTCTTCCTCTCCTCCCGGATGTCGCCCAGCGACTGCTCAAACCTCTTCCTCTATTGACCGACCACACCGCCGCCACCGCGGGAATGTTAGATATCCGAGTGATGGTATGCGCGGCGAGGAGCGGATTAATAATAATAGTAATAATAATGATGATGATAGGAGTAAAAATGAATCGGGTATGTACCTCGCTTTCCTCCTTCTTGGGCTCGGCGGTCGGGGCCAGGGAATTGCCGTAGGCGCTCATCTTCTCCACCTCTCGCTTCTGGATGTCCAGGATGTGGCCCTGCAGCTGCTTGATGTTCTCCTGAAGGCTGCGCGCGTCGTTGTTAGTCAACCACATCGCCGATACCTGGTGAGTGCACACCCTACGCGCGTGTCGTGTGTGTCGTGTCGTATGCGTGTGTCGTATGTGCGTGTGTGTACCCAAAGGCGTAATCGTCCTCGAGGGTGCGCTTGTCGTCGGTCATCTTGGGCTGGGGCATCTCGGAGAAGAGGACCCGATCGATGTCCCGCTCCCTGGCCTCCTCCTCCTCCTCTTCATCGTAGCTGTAGTGGTCGTTCGACGACTCGTCCGAGAAGTGCGAAGTGTCCTCCTCCTCCGTGTAGGCTGCGCGTCGTGTCGTGTCGTGTCGTTGCGTCAGCGGGGGGGGGGCGCTCGAGTGGGGGTTGGGCGCGCGGTCACGGAGGAGGAGAGTACCTTCGTCGGTGTACTTCCGGTCGCCGCCATCGTCAGAGTCGCTTCGGTTGCGGGCTCGGTAGTCGCTGCCGCTGCACGTACCGCGAGGGATAGGCAAGACCTCGGTCAGGCCCCACCACAGACCACAACCACACTCGAATCATGTGTGTGTGGTGTGGTGTGTCGTGGTGTGTCGTGGTGTGTCGTGGTGTGTCGTGGTGTGTCGTGGTGTGTCGTGGTGTGTGGTGTGTGTGAAATTGGAACGAACCCCTCGCTGTAGTCGTCTCTGTAGGGTCTCCGGTCCGAGTCGCGCGAGTCGCTGTAGGGCGACCGCGACCGCGACCGTGAATCGCGTCCGCGCCCCCGGCTGCTGCTCCGGCTGCGGCTGCTGCGCGTGCGCGAATCCGTCCGGCGGCTACGGCTGCGCGTACGCGAATCCGACCGGCGGCTACGGCTACGGCTGCGGCTGCTGCGCGTACGGGTCGGGCTTCGGCTTCGGCTGCTGCGCGTGCGGGTCGCGCTCCTGCTGCGCGTGCGGCTGCGCGTGCGGCTGCTGCGCGTACGGCTACGGCTGCGCGTGCGGCGCTCCTGCGAGGAATAGTCGCGAGAGTCCGAACGGTCGTCGGGCGACCTCGAACGGGAGTCCCTACAAGGATGAAGATGATGATGGTAAGAAGACTTATAATTTGATTAAAGATTCGAGGGTGTGGGTGATCTTAAAATGTGGAGGTGAGGGCCACACACACGCAACCGAAAGCGAGAATTGGGGGGGGGGTATGAAGAGATGGACATACCGATCGCGAGAGCTGCGGTCGCGGGAACTGCCTCGGTCCGAGCTTCCTCGGTCGGTAGAGCGCGAACGGCTTGAGTCCCGGCGGCGCGAGCTGAAAGGAAAAGCAGCGGATGAAAGGCGAGAGATGAGAGATCCTCCATCTCTGTTTCTTGTCTTTCGTGCGGGCAGAGCTTGAAAGCCTTTTTTTTCGGTTTACTCGAGTAAAACGTTGGGGGGGGGGGCTGAAGCAGTACCTCGAACGGCTCCTGGAGCCGGAGGAGCGGCTCCGCGATCTGTCACTGTGGTCGGTGCCCTCGTTGGACATCCCGCTCTTCTTCTGGTTCACTGATCCGATGGTGGTCCTCCCAATAGTCAGTACAGCCCACCAACCACCGCCTCCACGCGAGATCGAAATCGGGAGGAAGTGGTGAACTTTGTTGAAGAAAGCAGGGTAAGGAGGAGAACGGTGCGATGTGTTAATGTACCTTACAGCGGCCCTTCTTCTTTCTCTACCTTCTACCCTCCCAGTCCTTTTCTTGGTCGAGATGGTAACCTTCCTCTTCCTCTTCAAAGAGGTGGTCGCACTTCAAGAAGGCCGGATAAAGGGAGAGAGGCGCGCCGCTTCGCTCCGTTACCTCTCTCGGGCTCCAATAGCGCCCCACCGTTTATGGAAAATGTGTTTTTTCTGAATTTTTTCACCAGTGGAATGCTGCGTGCCTCGCATAACTGGCATGCCTGCCTATTTTCGCCCGGAAAGAGAAAAGAAAAAGGTGGCCGTAGCCAAAACACACAATCGAGCCCGCACACCACAAGTTGTTTTTCTCGCGAGATGGAGGAGGAGAGGGCACAGCAGACTGAAGCGCCCGTGGGCAGCAATGAAGGCGTCGCAGCCTCCTCTGCCGACTCTGCGGAAAGATCTTCATCTTCATCTTCTTCGAGCTCGCGGCGCGATCGTGATCGCAGAGACAGCTCCTCTTCGTCGTCGTCGTCGAGGAGAGACAGAGACCGCTCCTCGCGAGACAGAGACCGCTCCTCGCGGCGCAAGGAGGGCTCGTCATCTTCCTCCTCTACATCTTCATCATCTTCTTCCAGCAGCAGCAGAAAGCGGTCGCGGTCGCGCTCCCCTGGGCGCAGCAGCCGCCGCCGGTCCCGCTCGCGCGAGCGGTCCTCCAGGAGGTCCCGCCGCTCGCACTCGCCCTCGCCCCCTCGCCGCAAGTACGCCCCCCTCCAAATTCCATTCAATTCATTTTTTCCCTCCAATTCGTCTCGCTACCTCGGCCTCCATCCATCACGTGTCTGTTCATCATAAACGCTAACTGTGGGGTGTGAATCCAACAAAAAAACGTGTTGGATGTTGCGGCATGGCACAACACGCGCGACGCACACGACGCACACGACGCACGCACGCACGCACGCACACGCCAGGCGCAAGTCGGAGAAGAGCGCGTGGGACCAGCCGCCTCCCGGGTTCGACGGCGCGAACGCGGCCCAGCTGGCGCAGCTGGCGATGGCCACCGGCGGGCCGCTGCTCGGCGGGCTGCCCCTGGGCATGGGCGCGCTGCCCGGCGCGCTGGGGGCCATGGCCGGCGTTGGCTTTTTTCCTCGGCCTGCCGGGCGGCCTGGGCGGGCTCGGGCAGCTCCTCCCGGGCGCCATGGGCCTGGTCCCCACGGCCCAGCAGACGGCCCAGCAGGCCGCCCAGATCAACCGCCAGGCCCGCCGCCTCTACGTCGGCAGCATCCCCCCGGGCGTGAGCGACGTACCGCCTCCATCTCTCACTCCGCGTGCCGTTGGTCTTTAGTCATCGTGTGTCGAGTTGCGTGTCGCACTCGAGGCCCTTACTCACCAGTGTACTGTGGTGTGTGTGTGTTGTGTGTACGTGTATGTGTTGTGTATGTGTTGTGTGTGTCGCGTGTCGTGTGTCATTGGTGGGCCGCCCCACAGCAAGACCTGGTGGAGTTTTTCAACGAGGCGATGGTCAAGGCTGCCGTGGTGCAGCCCGACCACCGGCCCGTGGTGTCGTCGCAGCTCAACCCCGACAAGAGCTTCTCCTTCATCGAATTCTCCACCATCGACGAGGCCACTGCCGGTAAGTATCCACCACCAGCCCACCACCGCAATCCGTCTCTCATCGCTTGACGTGTGTCGTGTGTGTGCCGTGTGTGTGTGTCGTGTTGTGCGCAGGAATGGCGCTGGACGGGATCACGATGAACGGGATGACGCTCAAGGTGCGTCGACCGAAGGACTACGTGTCGCCGCCGACCGCGCAGGCGCCGGCGTCGGGGGGCATTCACATTCCGGGGATCGTGTCGACCAACGTGCCGGACTCGCCGAACAAGATCTTCATCGGCGGCCTCCCGTCCTACCTCAACGAGGCCCAGGTCAAGGAGCTCCTCACAGCCTTTGGCCCGCTCAAGGCCTTCAACCTCGTCAAGGACACCGCCACCGGCAACTCCAAGGGCTACGCCTTCTTCGAATACCTCGACGCCTCCGTCACTGGTACACCCCACCGCACGAACACGCACACACACACACACACACACAACACCAAACACACACACCAAACACACACGACTGAGAAGTCTCGCCATCCCACACAACAACAGACCGAGCATGCCAGGGCCTCAACGGGATGAAGCTGGGCGACAAGACGCTGCTGGTGCAGCGGGCCAACATCGGCGCCAAGCAGGACGGCACCGGCGGCCTCATCATGATGCCCATGGACCCGTCGGGCATGCTCAACGCGAGCCCGAGCGCCGCGAGCCTCCTCAACCTGCAGGTGCCCGCCGCCACCCTCCTCTCCGGAATGCTCCTCGGCCAGGGTACCGTTACACGAGACGACACGACACGACCAACGACACGACACATCCCAAGCTTTGCCGTTGGTAAGCCGCTTAACTGTGTGTGTCGTGTGTGTGCGTGTGCGTGTGTCGTTTGATGTGGTGTGACCGGTGCAGCGCAAGCGGAGACGCGGGTGTTGCAGTTGCTCAACCTGGTGCGGCCGGAGGAGCTGGTGTCGGACGAGGACCACGCGGACATCGTGGAGGACGTGCGGCAGGAGTGCGAGAAGTACGGCAACGTGATGTCCGTCACCATTCCCCGCCCCGCCCTCACCGACGATGGCAAGCTCGACCCCGCCATGCCCCCCGTCGACGGCCTCGGGCGAGTGCGTGCTCCTCCTACACTTTACCCCATATTCGAATTATTATCATTTTCTTTATTTTATCATCATTATTATTATTAACGAAGGGTGGCGCGCGTGGCCAGGTGTTTGTGGAGTTTGCCGACCGGGAGGACGCGGCGCGGGCGCAATCGAACCTGGCCGGGCGCAAGTTTAACGGTCACGTGGTGCTCACCTCCTACTTTGACGAGGACGACTACGAGCAGCGCGACTTCTCCCGCCATTGAGGCGAGCCGGCCGGCCGCGTTTCTTTCCTTCTCTCGCCAACCATAGAAAATGAACACAAGGTAGCTTTCGCCTCTTGCACGCGACCGGCCTCCACTGCCTGTGTTCATCGACACACGACACACGACACACGACACACGACACACGACACACGACACACGACACACGACACACGACACACGACACACGACACACGACACACGGCGTAATCAGGCAATGTTGGAGGTTCTCTCAATAGATGGGACAGAGTGTGTCACACGTGTGTGTGTCGTGTGTGTGTGTGTGGTGTGGTGAGTTGAAGTCAAAGTCGCAGCTGTTCCTGAGAATCGGGAGAACGAACCACAAACCCGGTTGAAATTGCACACAGCGCAATCTCCGACAATACCAGCGATGTGGCAGTTGTTGTAGGGCTGCAGCGGTCCGCCCTGGGGATAGCAGGGGCCGCAGTTGTGGGGTACTCCAACTGAAGCAGTGGTCGGCATCATGGAGAATGGGACCTCGAGTTGTTGCAGGTTGCAGTAGTACACGCACCACCCCACTGTGCTGGGGCAGTTGTCTTCGTTGCAGAGCTCATGTGGAGTCTGGCCCAGGCCGCAGGAGCAGTCGTCCTTGTTGGGCGTCTTGTCCTCGCACGCGTTCGGGCACGAGCACGAGCAGTCGGCGTTCTGGGTGCCGCCGTTGTTGCATGGCAGCGGACAGAAGCACGAGTCGCCCTCGCTTACACCGCCCCGCGTGCAGGTGAGGGGGTACTCGCACGAGCAGTCGGCCTGGAGCGTGCCGCCAGCGGCGCACGCGGTGAGGCACGTGCACGAGCAGTCGACGTCGTTGCGGAGGCCGCCGTCGGGGCACGTGTTGTTGCAGGCGGTGAGCTGCGTGTAGTCGATGGCGACCACGGCGTCGCTCGCGGTGCCCAAGTGGGTGGTGAACCCGATCTCGCGCACGTCGGGACACGCGCTCAGGCTGACGATGCGGCTCACGATCACGGTGCCGAGGTCGCCCGGAATGGTGCCGGTGCCCACGGCCACAGCGCAGTCAGAGACCGTGCGCTCGAAGGTGAGATCTGCGGGCTGTTGGCGAAGGAAGTGAAGCCTACGAAGCGCATGGCGCGGCACGAGGTGGTCCTGGTGAGATGAGGGTGTTGGCAGTGGATCCGATCACACAGCCCCACGGCCGGCCACCAGGGCGCACCTGTTGTCGAGCTCGTTTCGATCAAAGGTGAGCCAGTACTGGTAGCTGGCCTGGGTGGGGGGCGCTGCTGGGCGCCGTGTAGCCGTTGCCCAGGTCACAGGCCTCTCCGCCGTCCTGCCAGCCGGCGTGGTGGCTGATGCAGCTCTTGGTGTTGTCCCACCCGTTGAGGGTGAGCAGGTAGGACTGCGGTGCACCAGCTCTGCCGAACACGGTCGTGGTGCCCAGCACGACGTTGGCCTCGGGGTGGGTCTGCTCCCAGCTCACGCTCAACGCGCCCACAAAGCGGCCCGCCGGAATGGCGTCGGTGAGCCACGCGGCCTGGTAGAGGCCGAACGCGGCCAGGTTGAGCGCGTAGGGGCCAGAGAAGCCCTCGCTGGTGCGCGAAATCCAGATGTTGGAGATGTCGACCGAGTCCGAGTAGGTGAACCCGATAGACTTGACCGCCTGGGGGTGGGCACACACCTAAAATGTGAATCATTTTCTGAACTCCACCCTGTGGTCCACCAAAGCTCCGGGTCCTCACCAACCCAGGCGCAGACGAATGCAGTGCGCTGGCGTACGCCAGGTAGCGTTGTTATTGG